TTCGAATCAAATCAAATACTAGAAATCCATATCCATTAAAATCGAAGCAAATCACAAATATTAAAATTTTGGGAAGCGGATATCTGATCCGATCCGGAAATATATATATATATATATGTGTGTATCTTGTTTATATTTAAAATGTATAAAATTATATAATTATTATTCTAGCATATCATTTTGAACAATTCTACTCACATTATTACTTATATAAAAGTATAACATAAAAAGAGAGAAAATATTTATGACAATTATATTTTTTCCTTAAATTTTGTGTTATTATAATTGTAACTTAAACATAAAAATGCCAAAATATATAAATTTACTTGTTCTTTTAATTTTTATTTTATATATCATGCCAAAATATATTTTTGCAAAGCAAATTTGTATCAAAATTTTAAGATTATTTGCATTAGTCAAAATAAATGAGATATCCGTAAATTAAATATCCGCAAATATCTACTTATTTTCCGAATATCTGTTTTTCCGGATATCCGTATTTTTTCGAAACAAAACAAATACGAAAATTAGATATCCGAAACATTCGAAGCAAATCACAAATACCTTGAAAAACTCGGATATCCGGCTCCGTACCCACTCCTATCTTAAATATACTGTAATATAGTCAATATTTTAAACATGTGAGAGCCGCATATAATTAGTTAAGTCATAACTCATAACCAAGCACGTGAAAGAAACGTGTCTAAAGTGTTATATTAGCCGATGAAAACAAGTAACTATTCAGTTCAAAAAAAGAAAACAAGTAACTATTACAACAAAAAAGGGAAAATGAGTGATTCTTAAGATCATCTCCAATATATATATATATATATATATTGAGAAATCATCTTCAATATGTTTCTCTATCTCTTTAATAGAGGTGAGTTTCTATCCAATGTATTCCTCTATTTTTTATTTACAAAGAAATATTTTTGAAACATTTTATTTTATTTTACAATTAACCCTTTTAACTTGTAAATAATGAAAATTAACCCATTCGTTATAACTTTTGGAAAAATTCATAAAAGTACAATATTATTTAAAATTAAAAAAAATTATTACACACAAAACATTAGATAAAAAAAAATGTAGACATTACTTAACTATTCTTGTTATTATACTTTTCCATAAATAGTCAATTAATGCATTCTAAAATGAGAAATAAGGTTCTTTATCTTTAATTTTCTGAATCGATTTCAGAATTATTGGAACTGACAAAAAAATCAACAAAGAAGAGTTTTGGAACCGGCAACAAAATCAATAAAGTAGATTTTTTTTTGAATCGACGTAGAAATTTTTGGAACATGCAGTAAAAATAATAAAACAAAATAAACATGATCAAACCATTATTATTACTATACTTTTCTCAGCAGCAGCAAAAAACAACTAACTCCTCATTCATCCACTTCATTTGGGAAATATTTTAACATTATTTGTGGATCCAGAAGTAATTTATAAAATTATTAAGTTCAATTTAATATGATAACAATGCATAATTTATGTGAAATTTTAATAATTAATTTTAGTCCTCAATATAAAAATTTATATATTATTCATAAATAGAAAGTCTAGCTTTCAAATAAAATAATAATATTTTTTTATTTTTTATTTATACCTTTAAAAATTAAGAACCATTATGTGAACAACAAACTTTGTTTTTAGTTACAAGCATAAGAGGTTAAGAAACTACTTTGTAAATAAAAAGGTATGTCTCTATTCTAGAGAAATGTTTTTTGTTTAAATATAAAGGAAAAAAATAGAATCTCCATTTTAGGGGAAGAAATAGAATTGGATTAGATAATATTTTATTCTATTATAGCATATAAAAAATATAGGAGTGAAATTTCTATAGCATATAGAGGAAAATATAAAAATGGGATTTTCCAAAAAAAGAAAAAAAAAAAGATTTAGAGATGCTCTGAGAAGGAAAGAAAAAGAAATTTGACATCTTACTTTGGATGGTACTACCGGTATTATACCTACTATGAAAGTATATATTCGCCCCTCGTCGGTTTGGTAGAAGCTAAAAGAAAGAAAAGGGCATGAGTACAACGCGACAAGGCCAACGCACATAAAACGACGAACGACTCGTTCAGTCATCACTTACGTTGGAAAATACTACAAATGGTTTACGGCATCTGTTGGGCTCCACCGGAGAAGTACAGTTACCCGAAATTACAGCTATACCATCCTTTGCTTGCGCATGATGAACATTGACACTACCACGCGGTTTGTTTTATATATACGCAAACATGACGATGATACAAACCGTTTATTCACCACGTTATAAGACTAATTTTGCAGACACAAGACATATAGTAATAAATAATACGGACTTTAAGATATATTGTTACTGAAGTCCGAATAGTCTTTTATTAGTGACAGTTCATTCCAAGATTAGCAAACAGCTCGTTTAAGTTTTCGAAATCAACCTAAAGTATGTATAATTAACTTCCATCGAAGTGAATCGATATATACGAAGCCAGTATCGGTATTTTCATAATTATGCCACATCAATTTGTTTATTCTCTCATTATAACTAGCATATTATTACAACACCATTCAGGATATATTCATGGGATTAAACATGTAATTTACTTGTATGGTACAACTCATCCAACTGGCAGGTGTTAAATGATCGTTGGTAAACTTATAACAGAATTGGAAGTTCAGTAGAGCTGCCGCCAGATACCACATACTT